CCCCCCCCCCCCCCTCCACTCGAAGAGGGTTAGCGCCGCCCCTGAAAATACAACAAACTATCGGGACGGAAATTGACAATTTATAATTGACAATTTAATAAATTGACAATCTGTTTATATGTCCCGACCCCCCGTGATAAAGCATTTTCTTTAATGTGTTTAAGTTCGTCTTACTTGGCCAGTTAACTTTTAGAATTACTTTAAAATGCACCTTTTGAATAACCAGTTGTGTTTATTTATTTTTTCTGTGTTGGTGTTGTGTACTTAGGTGAATATGATGTTTGTGATGTTACTCTGAGTGTATATCCAAACCGGCGAGCTTGAAAAATATGCCCGGCCGCGGTGGGCTAATTCTCGTTAAATTAACCAATGCAGACAATTTAAACAATGTGAAAAGCAATTTTTCAAAATAAACTAACCATTTACAAAGCAAATTTACCATATCATTCGTCCAAAAAATTATAAAAAGTCGCTTTTATAAAAAAATTATAAAAATTTATAAAAATTATAAAAAGCAGGGCATATTTTTCAAGCTCGCCCGGTTTGGATATAACTGATATACACTCAGAGTAACATCACAAACATCAGTTGTGTTTATATTTAATACTTTGTCTTTGTAAACAAATATATACGCCATATGTACGCCAAGAACTGAGCTTGTACACCGGACTTGCCGGCTATGATCATCGTTCAGCATTGTTCGCATTCAAAACAAATCTCTTCATCGAGAAATGTATGCAATATATTTCTGGTGTATCGTTTTTCAAATTATATTTCAAGTCTTTCAAACTTTTGTATGCCCCAAAGGAAATCTTGATTCTTGAGGAAATCTCTGTATTTAAAATTATTCTGTTGTTATTTTAAACGCATGCTAATTATCAATTAACCAATGAAATATCTTCATTTGTCATATATTATTCAAATAAAGCACTGTCCAATCAGAGGCCTTTCCACAAATCTGAGGAAAATCCACGTGACCAGAACAAGGAATCTTCATCCAATTCACAGATGTTCTCTCGCGCGCTTCGTCGAGAGTAACGTCTGTACACAGGCTTATTCTTTATGTCTCAATTTCTTTAGCACTTTTGCAGTTTTTCGAAAGTATAAAATCAGAGGCGTAACGGAGGAAAAGGGGTCCTTAGGCATATTTGGTGTGGGGCCCCCTATTGACCGTTGTCATTGTTGGACTGAGATATTATATTTATATTGAATATTTATATAGAATGTTGTGGAAAATGCCGCGTCTATAACAATAACGGTTTCCAACACAATGTCATGCATGTAACAACTAATAAGGCCATGTAAAAAAATATCCCGGTTTATCATCAGCGCCCGCATCCATTTTTCGTGCCGCATGGATTTTTTAAATTTTTTATTTTTAAAAAATCACTATTCCCGCAACCTCGTTCCTCCGGCGGACCGTGCGAGGAACCCACGCCAGATTTTCACGATGGTTGATGGCATTTTAAAAACACGAGTTCATATTGACAACTTGTGTGATATTGCGCTTGGGCACAGAATGGCTTGGGCCTCGGCAATTGTAATATTAATGAAAAGTGTAATAGCATTGAAAATATTATACCATACAACTGTGTTGCGTGTTTGAGCATATTTTGTCCATTTTTTTCCTAAATGTGATTCGGTAAAAATTTTTTAAAAAATCCGTCCGCCTGCCCGGTTTTTTTCTGCTGCCACTGATGATAAACCCGGCGGGATATTTTTTACATGGCCTAAGAATAACTTTTGTTTTATTTGAGATGGAATAAAAAAATCAGCTACCGTTGTCGATGGAGGCTTTATTATTTAGCATTATTAATTTTTCATTTTCCCATTGATTCTTAACTGCATTTTTTACGTTTTCTAATTTTCTGTGCGATAGGCCGTGGCTGATGGTGGCCCCCAATTGTCGGGGACCCTTAGTTTTTGAACTAACCCTACCTAATAGGCGTTACGCCACTGTATAAAATATAATTTGACAAAACTAAAAGTTCATCTTGTTCGCTTATTTATTGCTGCATTGCAACAGCACTTAGGGAAGTACCGGAGGTACAAACTTTTGCAAACAAAAAACGTTTCCGGTTTACAAAAATGTTTACAAGATTTCAAAATGAATATAATAAAGTGGAAATTGAACTTCATGCGGTACAATTTTGGTCCAAATTGCACTCCACTCATGTAGTGTTTTTATCAGAACAACCTTAAATGAACACTAAATAGAAATGCACATTTTATCACAGTTGGGTAAACATCGGATCTAACAAACATGAAAACCCCCACAAATTTTACGTACTTTCGTCAAATTAAGCTCGCGTTATAGACTAACTTAATTTATTCTTCTTGAAATTTCTTACAGTTCTGGTAAGTTAATTAAAAGCGCTAAATTTGACGGGTATTCCGACGACGATGCGAGACCAACGGAAAACCTAATGCATGCTTCTACGGTTACAGCACTCATTATACATCAGAAATAGATTCAGTATACCGTCACGCATCACTACATTTACGCAGTGCATGTAAACTATAACAAATGCGAGATTTTTCTCATAGCCGTGGCGGGAAATATTTTCCTCATAATTTAAATTATAATAACTAGTACTTAAAGTACACATGTTATCGAGCATTATATATTACGTTTATCCATTTACTTTTCATACCAATAAAGATCAGGTTTTTAGCTGTCGAATGATACCTTTCTTGTATTATTGCGATCTAAAATAGCCAAATACGATCCGATTTAAAAATGCCGGTCGAAATCATGTTTTTCCACCATTGGGAATTGCATGTAAACCTATTGCATGAGATTCAAATTTAAGTCGTTTGAATACAGATTAAGTTTTGGTTAGCATCAAGCTTTCAGTTTTCACTCTAAACAAAATTAAGTGGTTAAAAGATTTCACAGATCTAGAATCGGAAGTTTCCAGACTGAACTCGCAATGCCATACGTTTCACAAATGGGCAACAAGCATTTTGGAAACTTGTTTGAAAATTTGAAAAAGATTTTCAATCGACCACTTTAAATTAACCAGATCGTATTTGGTCATTTTTTATCGCAATGATTCCATAACAGTGTTATTTGACAGATAAAAACCTGATCTTTATATAAATATGAAAATAAAAAACCTATAAACGTAAAAATTAACCCACGATAACCTGTCAAAGTTGGATTACCTTTTTTCATACACTTTGTACATTTATGGTAAATTATATTGCTTTAACAGACATTCACTTTCGTTGATATTCATCATTTCACTAGTCACTAACATTTATTAGCATTTCAATTTTTAAACTTCTAGTAATATTCCTGCAACTGCACTTCCGGTTCACACAATGTCATTTGTGATCTGTACCTTTGGAGTTTGGTTCGTGAAAAAAGTTCGATAATGTTTGATAACAATTCAGTTTTCCATGACTACTTCCACGGTACTTCGATTAAGAGCCGCAGATCGAAAATTAGGACAGCGCTTATCCACGTCGACGTCGATGACGTACGGTCTGCTGTTTTGTTTTATGTTGGTTTTATATTAAAGTATGTCAGATTTCTTTTATTCGACTTTCTAATATATTTCTTACTATCTAAATTGAAATGACCCTACAATTACTGTTTATAGCGGTAGATATTGATATTTTGCCTAGAAACGTAGTGAATTTTGTCGGCTGAATTTCTCATTTTGACCGCGGAATTTGTTATTTTGGCCGCGGAATCTCTTGTTTTGGCCGCGGAATTTGCTATTTTTACCCGCGGAATTCCAGAATGCCTGCTTTAATTGATCATTTTGGTTTAAATCAAGAATACATTTTGGGTTAAATTGTTAGTCTAGAACAATGACGTAGCTGTTCATCTAATTTCTTTCATATATTAAATGATAGGACGTTTTCATTTTGCATAATATTAACTTATAAATTGAAGGTACGTAAAGATTATAATTAAATTAAAATAAATATAGTTTAGGCGATAAATATAGAAATTCGGTGAATAAATATTCAATCTAATGAATATAGGTTGAAGTGGCAGAAAAACCAAGCGAAATATCGGGACCCACGGAAAATGCTCAGCAATAACTTTTGGAGATTTTTGGGTTACTCTCGGGACATTCTTTCCTAGACAATTTTGAAATCTGAGGTTACAGGTAGTGGCGAAATCCTGCATTCTGGGAAACCACTTGACAGACACATACCTATGCATATTTAACTTTATTTCCTATTTGCGGAGCCCCTTTATCTAGGGACCCAAGGACAAACTTACCCTTTCGTTGCATGCTCCTGTAATTAACGAAGAAATTTACCGTTTCGGAATTGTATCAGCTGTTGATAAGAAGCAGGCTATTTCAAAACTATATCCAATTTGCCTCGACAATTGCCAATTGTTCTATTTACCATTTAGTGCAGGTGCATAATGAAAATATTTCCTGATACAAAACTATCAAGGACACTCACTTTGATATTATTAGAGCAAGACGGATTTCTTCCAACACTAATGCAGTTGTAATAAAACCAAGATTGACATTGCCCAATGTCTGTTTTATATGCTGTACCAGGTAAACATTTTCCTGAGTTGTCACACCAACCACATCCCCTCCTCGAAAGACAACTTTGGCAAGTTGTGAATGGTAGACAGTAGCTAACAGTACAGCCACGACCCTAAAACGATATGACTCTCTCATGAACTACTGGTTCTCTCATGCACATATTCTATGCGCGCGGAAACTAACCTGTCAATCGTTAATTAATGCGAGGATTTCTAGGCAAATTTCCCTCAATTTAAGGTTCAATGTTTTTTAAAGAATATACATTTTTGTGAAATGGATCGTCAAATTGGGAGTTACAAAAAGACAATTCTGCCATTTTACATTCGAAAACATATTGGGATTGTAAGGAAAGATATGCGCCAGAAGAAGTTTTGTTTACGTGATTAGAGCTAGGCAAAGCCCTTAATTTTGCGGGCGTTTTTATGGAGTATCAGTGCATGCATTGATCGTTTACCAAGTTTTGCACATCTATTCTTACTTAAAGGATTGATTATGCCGAGTAGATCATTAGTCCGGAAAAGTCAGATTTTGTAATCCGTTGTATTTAAACAATCTTTTCTGAATCCTTACTTTTATGTGATTCTTATTGGCAATGTTCCAAACAAGAAGAATCAGATAAAAGATGTGGAATTTTTATCGTTATTTGTTGATTTTGGGTAAGATAAAAGCAATAACAAAATCTTGCAATATACATGCATGCTGTGTCTCAAATTCTTTAAAACTCAAACACAATAAGCAGTGCCTCTATACCTTCAATGAGTGTGCAACTTTTGATGCAGCGCTCCTTCCAACACTGGTACATGTACATGGCTGTATTCTCTCACTGGTTCGGATTTCGTGTATATGTACATATATTAAAAGAAAATTTGATCTTACCGTCCATCCTAAACGACATTTGCAGTGGTTCGGCCCAACACATTTGCCATAGGATCCGCAGTTACCGACATCTTTACAATGAAACGATGAACAGTCAGCTCCCTCCCATCCTTTGTTACAGTTACATGTCTGTCGCAAACAAATCCCATTTAGAGAACAGTGGTTATTACAGCGAACACCTATAAAAAGACAACCGTTACTTATTCCCTAGCCTTTTGTATAGATGAAACATGTCTTAAAAATGAAACGCCTTCTTCTCTTTTTCCATACTCCATTAATATGGTAATAAATCGGAACAACGGGATTAATTTTCATCTTGTATCACGTTTCAAGCCAGCGGTAAAATAAAACATGAGATTCACCTAGAAATTCATTTCCCAGCAAATCTTAGTTCTTCTTAATTAGTTCATGCACTAATGTTTTCTAGGTCTCAGTTTTGATAAGTTCTCTGTTTAAATTCATCTCACTATCTTATTTTTTTTTATCAAGCGATCGCTTTAATTCGTAGTTTCTAAAACCGCATTCAAGTGTTTCAGGTATCTCTCTTATTAATAACCCCTGGCCCAATAACATGCTCATGATTTGGTCTGCGCTCAAGGGGTTCAAGTATTTTAGTAAAAATTCAAACACACGCTTTAATTTTGTAGAATATAATTACACTGAACCCTTAGTACGGTGGCCGATAAGGGTCAAATCAAATCAAAATCAAATCAAATCAAATTTTATTAATAAATACATAAACAGTCTGTATATACAATACTATCCGCTAATAGCAAAGCTAATCGGGGCGGATAGTAGAATGAGATTAAATAAGAATTATAGATATGCTCGGTTATAATATAAAGTGGCGCAGTATACTGACAGCACAAAGCATCATTTTCACAAAGAAGAATTCCCTATTAATTTCCTATTAATTTCGAAGGATGTACTATTTTCCATGCTTACTCATATATCTAATTAATGTGGGCACATCAGCATAATCGTCCTCAATCTCAAATATGGTTAAAAGACTTTTCTGAATTTTCAAATTGAAATTTTTTCTACCCAACTCTCGAACATCAGTGGGAATACTATTCCAAATTTTAACACCTGATTTTACAAAGGATGTGATAGTTGTAGTTAGTTTTGAGTATTCAACATAAAAATTATTGGATACACAATGTCTAGTGTTATAAGTATGGACTTCTTTTGATTGGATAAAACAATCGGAGATTGAAGATGGACAAGAGCTATTTGAGACGTCATACATTAAATTGCAAATTGTTTTAATGTAAAGCATATTTAAATGAAGTATATTGGAATGAATAAAAAGTGGGATAGCATGTTCCTTGTTTGTTTTAAAATTCATTAGACGTATTGCTCGTTTTTGGAGAATAAGTATCTTATTCAAATATTTTTTGCCGCTTGACCCCAAACGGCTATACCATATGTTATATAAGGTAAGATTAAACATCGATAAATGTTTTGTAAGGTAGACAGAGGTACAAAATATCTAAGCCTTGTAATTATACCAATTGTTTTGCTTATTTTGGATGCAATATTGTCAATGTGGTATTTCCATGTGAGATTACCATCCACTATAACACCTAAATATTTTATAAATTCTTTACATTCAATATTAATCAAGTTATTGGAATGATTGTCAAACATTTTTAGTTCAACTTGATAGTCGAGCTTTTTTTGGTGAGAATGAAAGATAACATAGTTGGATTTCTTTAAGTTGAGGGTTAACTTATTTGTGTTTAGCCATTCACAAACTCCTATCAATTCTCTATTGATGATCGTTTCTAGAGATTTTAATTTTTTATCAGAGTATACCAAATTCGTATCATCAGCAAACAAGTAAAATTTAAATACCTCAGATGATTTGTGAATATCATTTATGTAAATTAAGAAGAGTAAAGGCCCAAGGACTGAACCTTGTGGAACACCCAAGTTAACTGTATGTTTTGATGATATGTAACCACCAATTTGGGTTGTCTGTATTCTGTCAGTTAGGTAAGATCTAAACCAGTTGTTGATCACTCCACGGATTCCATAATGATGTAATTTATGTAAAAGTATAGAATGATCAACGGTATCAAAGGCTTTTTTTAGATCTATAAATATGCCACACGAAAATAGACCCTTGTCCAGATTGTTATGAATATTATTTATAATATCAATAATGGCATGCTGTGTTGAGTGTTTAGCTCGGAAGCCATATTGCTTATCATATAAAATTTTGTTTTTATCGAAAAACGTTTTGAGACGTTTAGACATTAATTTTTCAAAAATTTGATTCAAATTTGAAAGCAATGAGATTGGTCTATAGTTTCCCGGATCAGTTTCATCATCATCTTTAAATATAGGAATAACTTTAGCATGTTTAAATTTTGAAGGAAACACTCCCTTTTCGATAGATATATTCATTATTTCTGATAGTGGCCAAGATATTTGGTGTTTTATATACTTTAGAATTCGTATAGGACAAGAGTACAGTCCATAAGCTTTCGCACAAGACATAGAACTTATTTCACATTCTACTTCGTGTGGAGAAATGGGGTCAAAGAAGAAAGAACCAGAATAATTAGTGGTATCGAGATATTGGCTAAAATGTTTTGAGGGATTGGGTAATTTAGAAGCTAGATTAATTCCTATGGTTGAAAAATGTTTATTGAGGATATTGGGAATATCTCTAGGATTTCTATTAATTTCATTTCTGGTTGGACATTTGATTGTCGTAATCATTTTGTGATTATTCCTCTTGCGATTGATCAGACTATTTATGCCCTCCCAGGTTTTTTTCATGTTTTTTATGTTGTTATTGAAATATTGGTTATAATATAAATTTTTACTAATTCGTGTTAGGGTTGTTATCTTATTTCGGTATAGTTTATATTTATTTTTATTTGTGGAGTGAAATAGTTTGTTTTTTATTTTAATTGATCTCCTGATTCCTTTTGTTATCCATGGCTTAGAGAACTGTTTTTTCATACGATTTGAGACTGGTTTTAAGGGAGCGTGTTTGTTGATTACATTGTTGAGTTTATCGTAAAAGGTAATAAAAAGTTTATCAATATTGTCTTTTTTATTTGCGATGATAGTACACCAGTTAATTCGTGATATGTCGTCATTGAATTTTGACTCCGAAAATTTAGAGTAATCACGAATTTTGGCATTAGTTTGGTATTGATAATTTATGTATTTATCAGATTGTATGATACAAAATTGCGAAAAGTGATCACTTATGTCAGAAACAATATTCCCACTTAGAATTGGGTTTTCAATTTTATTGACAAAAATATTGTCAATTAGAGTCGCCAATTGATTGTAGACTCTTGTAGGTTTATCAATGGTAGGTGTTAAAGCATAGCTTTGGAGAGTAAGTAAGAAGTTTTGAGTATATTGACAAGTTTGAGCATTGAGGAGATTTATGTTGAAATCGCCCATTACGTAAATAGGCACAAAAAGTGAAATCACCCCACAATAACACGAAACACGCCAACAAATCCGCGATTCACGCCACAATTTCACGGATTCACACCACAATTTCACGATTCACGCCACAATTTCACGGATTCACGCCACAATTTCACGGATTCACGCCACAAAGAAACCGCTGACCGATCACGGTCTCGATACTCATTAAATTCACTATTTCCCGCCTTTTTCTCGACCGCATGATGGCATGAAATAAGTGTAAACATGGCTGACAACGGCCAGTGCATTCAATGTGGAGAAGCTCTCGAGGATTTCTTTAACTTTTGTCCTGAATATGGAAGAAGCGTAACTCAAGAGGGAGAAATGACTGAAAGAGAAATTATTGAAATGTATTTCTATTGTGGCTTCACCTACTCATGCATACTGCAATTAATGTCCAAGTATCATAATATAAACATGTCATTATCTACTCTTAAACGTCGGTTGCAATCATTTAATCTAGCAAGAAGTAGGGACGCTATTGATGTTGACCAGATTAGAAAAGCCATAAGAAAAGAAATGGATGGCCCTGGGTGTTTATTTGGATACAGATTTATGTGGCATTCTCTCAGAATGGGCCATGGGTTAACAGCACCCAGAGACCTTGTACAAAGGCTAATGAAGGACATTGATCCAGATGGTTGTGAATTGCGGAAAAGAAGAAGGTTAAGACGCAGCAGGAGTTACTGGAGCTTGGGCCCTAACCATACCTGGCATATCGATGGATATAACAAGTTGAAAGATTTTGGATTCCCAATACATGGGTGTGTGGATGGATTGAGCCGCAAGGTTTTGTGGTTGAATGTTTCAAGATCAAATAACGATCCATCTGTAGTACTGCGTTTCTACTTAGATTGTGTTGACGAAAATGAAGGGTGTCCTCTCATAGTACAGAGTGACTGCGGCACTGAAAATGGCAACATTGCAGCAGCTCAGTGCTATTTTCGTGTGGATGCTACAGATGAGTATGCAGGCGAGAAAGCTCATAGGTATGGTGAATCGAAGCGAAAGCAACGTATTGAAGCATGGTGGTCTTGTTTTAAAAAAAGTAGATCATCATGGTGGATTAATCTATTTAAAGATCTCATGGATAGTGGTCAATTTGAATATGGAAATGTTATTCATAAGGAATGTATGTGGTTCTGTTTAAGTGATATTATACAGGAAGACCTTAACTACACAAGGGCCCTGTGGAACAACCACTACATTCGATCCTCAAGGCACGAGACTGTTCCAGGTCGGCCAGATGAGTTGTATTACTTACCAGAATGCCATGACAGTGAGGATCAGAAACAACCTGTGAATGCCGAGAAGCTTAATGAGGTTAGACTGCATGCGGCTGATCCGGTTAATTAGGATAATCAGGATGTCCAAGAGTATCTCAACTATGTTTGCACATCAGAAGGATTAGAAAAGTCCACTGATTGGAGAAGTGCTCTGAACTTATACACAATTTTAAAACAAATAGCTGAACAAGTGTAGATTTCAACAATTAATATAGTTTTTTTATTGTTTGTATATATTATCTTAAAAACACAACATTTTCAATGGCAGATTGCATTTATTTTCTGCACAGGGGGAGTTGAGGACAATGGAAAATCAATGGGAGGGGTGAAAAAGACCACAGAAATCCAGGGGGTGGGTTGATTAGAGACCAAAATCCAGGGCATGGTCTGCAATTAAAGTCATTTTTCAGGGGTATCTGCATAGATATCTTATATACACCAGATAGCATATCTCTTTTAGTAAAATTGAAGCCAAGAATATTCCAGCGGTTACCCCCATTTGAATAGATGGCGGCAATGTTGGTGGTTCCCACTCGCTAATAAACGCTTAAAAACACCAATAATTTTCATCATTTGAATAATTTGAAAATGTATTTGGAATAGGTTTAACTTAATGTTTAAGTTCCCTGTTTAAGAGATAGAAAACATACGTCCGAATCTTCTAATTTCATGGGAATATCCTGAAACTGCAATCACGTCTTCAATTTTTGAATTGCAAAATAATTAGATGCACTATCTAGTGTATATAAGATATATATGGGTATCTGGCAATGAATTTCTAGGAAATTCCAGGGAAGGGGGTATATACTGAATTCCAGGGGGTCACATTTAGCTGGGAAAAAGATGCAATCTGCCAATCTAATATTGAATAACTATCAATTTTGAACTAATCTTTTAACAAATGTCACTGTTCATATTAACTATAAAACAGTCAATTTTAACTTCAACAATAAAGATTAATGTAAATAACAATAAGATACTTGGCCAAGTTGCTTAGCTCTATCAACACAGCAGTATTTGTAATATATATGAACACTAAAACCATTTTCATTGTTTAAAATGGACATTTTAGACATATTTTAGTATTTCAAAAGCAGTGAATGGATTATAAAATATTGATTTTGGATTTGCTGAATAATTTTAAACAACTTGGCCTTTTACTCTTTTTTAAATGCCCCCTACATGTTGCAATAAGTTTATTCTAATCCAAATCTTAAGTTTGTCCAAATCCTTTGGAATTTAAGATGGCAAATGTCATATCATCTTTAAAAGAGGCATATGTGGTGTGTTGAATTGGTAAACTTAGCTCACAGGCACAAGTGTTGGCTTTGGGAAACTTACATCCCCTTTCCCCATGCAAGAACTTTACTGTTATTTCCAGACCAAGGGGAGGGAATTCTAAACATCCACTGATAAACATTAGTACATCTTTGAGCTCAAGTTGGCATTCACCCTCACTAGCATCCACTAAGAAGTCACCCCAGAAGCCCAATACTGCATTCTCTACTTGAAAAGAGTTAGAACCCATTTCACTTCTATCATAACTTAATTTAGCTTCAAAACACTCAACAGTGAGCCTGTTTGGGGAGTAGCACATCAGTTGCCTGAACACACCTGGAAATTGCCTCATTTTATCTAATACTCCCAAAATTTCAAGGCCTTTCTGAAATTGCAGGATTGCACACTGACTTCTACTTACCAGGAACCATTTTATTAAGCTATTGGTTATGCTTAACTTATCTTCAGAGGTTTTTACTGGTTTCCATGCCCCTGCAAGATCTACAACTGTTGACAGTCTTTCATTACTGTCAATAAATGTATTTACATTTTCTGGTGTAACATCATTGAGAGAGAGTATGACATCTTTTGTTGCATCATGTATATTTTCCATATCTGCAACTGTGGGTTTTACCCCCTGAACCCCACCAACTAATGCTTGAAAAAGGAGGTTTGATAGGCAGTGAGGGACTGGACCTCCATGTACAAGTGAAAGTGCAATGAGCATACCTGTTAACCTATACTCTTCTTCCTCAAATGATTTTTGGTTTAAAGAAATATATCTTGAATTGTCATGACCAAAAAATAATGGGGACTCATACAATAAACTGTGTAATAACAAGGTAAAAAATTCACGCTTAGGGCCCCCCAAATCAACAGCCCCCTCTGATGAGCCTACATCATCCATAAACTTCACAGAGACTTTATGGCATGGATCAAATTTTTTACGGTTTAAGGCCCGTTTTGCACTGTCAAAAAGATGGGTACGGACAACATTAAACTTAGTAATATTACTAAAATCTACTTGCTGAGCTAATTCTGTTACCACTGCTTCAATTGTGGGAGTTTGAGCATCATCCTTGCCAGATGTAGACATTTCTACTGCATCATCAGAACATGTCTCTTCATTGGTGGACAGTTCCTCTAGTTGATCATCAATAGTGAAAAGTGCAGCATAAGTATTGTCGACATTCTCCATTTGCAATGCCAAGGCAATGGCAGCATCCGTCTCAATTTGCTCAGTCTGTTTTGACTCTGTCTGCTCTAGCTCTGTGTTGGATGAAGTGCTAACTGGACTAGAATCAACAACTTGAATAACTGGTTTCTGGGTCTTAACCATTGATGGTTTGCGACGTTTCGGTTCTGTCTTCAATTTCTTGGATTGACTTCCTTCTGAATCACTCTCATCTTGACTCTCGCACGAGGGTGAACTATAAATTCCTTTTTTCAAAGAAGTAAGTTTATAGTTGATCAAATCTGTTTTCAACGATAGGTAAAATGTAATGCGACTGTAGGGTTTCCCATACTCTTTCTTATACTTGTGAAGTACAAATGGTTCGTCAGATTCTCGAAGCTTCTCGACAACTGTTGCATCGGAGTACAAAAGTTCATAGTCTCCAATAGATTTAATTTCCGCCATGTTGTGAGCTTTTAATTTACCGAAGGCCGCATCCATAAGTTCTTTCCTATCACTAGACTTTGCTATGGTTAGAGGCAACGATTTACCTCTCTGTCCTTTCATATCCACGCCATCGTATTTCATGAAACCAACATTCACAGTAACTTTCTCGTCTAAACATTCAGCATTTCTATTCTTCTTCTCACGTCTAAAATATGTCGCTGGTTTCTCACCCTTCAGCTCCTTAAACTGTTTGTATCCTAACGTTTTATTACTGGATCGTTTCGTAGTAGGAGTTGGTGTAAGCTTACTTGTTCCAGCGCCATCATTGCTTTTTTGGCTCTGTCCACAACGTGGGCAAAACTTGTATGAAGTTAGAAGTTCGGCAGAACATGACAAACAAGCAGCCATGTTTACGCTTATTTCATGCCGTCATGCGGTCGCGAAAAAAGGCGGGAAATAATGAATTTAATGAGTATTGAGACCGTGATCGGTCAGCGGTTTCTTTGTGGCGTGAATCCGTGAAATTGTGGCGTGAATCGTGAAATTGTGGTGTGAATCGTGAAATTGTGGTGTGAATCCGTGAAATTGTGGCGTGAATCGCGGATTTGTTGGCGTGTTTCGTGTTATTGTGGGGTGATTTCACTTTTTGTGCGTGAATGACCCTTATCGGCCACCGTAGATATCTCATTATATATGTAATTGAGTAAATGACGTCATATGGTTACAAACAAAATAAAATATCTCAAGAACTAAGCATGGGAACAAAAATCTTCAAAACATTATACAGTTATAAGAGCATTTTCGTTTAAAAAAATAAAAATTTTGATGACAGTGCCACTTTAAATATTTTCCCCGACATAGTGAAAAAGAGAGGAAATAAGTACATTTTTCTAAAGCATTTTTAAATTTTCATGCTCCCTTTTCTTTTCTGTTTTGTTTTAGTCTTTTGTGGAGATCCGGGATACCCACAGCGCGGATATCTAGTCGGTACGGTATTTACATATGGGGCCATGGTGACATTCCGTTGTAACTCAGGAGACTCATTGGATGGTGCTCTTTCTTCAACCTGTCAATCAGACTCTACTTGGAGCAACCCAACTCCATCACGGTGTAAGTTAATAAATATTACTCCAATATTTTTTTACTACGGGCTTTTGCATTCGTAATCATCCACCAGTTTCTGTTGCATTAATGCATATTGAACACTGCAAATTCTATTGCATGTCCGTATTTTAAGATGTACTGAGTTATTATGCGCTTAGAACCTTTCATTTGTTTCATTTTAAATTAGGTTTTTCGCCTAGTATACGTTTAACTCAAGGCAGTTGCGGAAGAGTTGAAGTTCATCATCCTTCCTATGGTTGGGGGACGGTGTGTGATGATGGTTGAGATATGAATGATGCCAATGTGCTATGTCGTCAACTTGGATATAACACAGCAGTTGCAGCATATCAGTCTGCCCACTACGGTCAAGGTAGTGGTCAAATATTGCTTGATGATCTTAGATGCACTGGTTCTGAGTCATATCTATGGGATTGTCCTCGCAATAGTTGGGCTTCACACAACTGCGATCATAGTGAAGATGCAAGTGTTAAGTGTAGTTATTAAAACGGTTTTTATATTTCAATCAATTAACTCAGACATGGTGATTACGTTGTTTAGTATGGTAGTAGTGAACAATGATGGCATTACAATTCGGGATACAGGTACCAGGTTATAATGATTATGCATTTTCAAAACAATAGGCAGGGTGAATGGGACTAACACGGCATCTCTCTATTCCAATGCCCTTCAGAGGAGCCGTATCAAAACAGAATTACCAAGAAAAATAAACCTAAATTGCATATACTGTGGTTTTGATTAGAGATATAATATTAACAAATTTCGTTGCAATGAGACATAAAAATCTAAAAATTGTTTTTAATTGATTTCTTAATTCTTCAGGGAGAATGTCCTATACTCCTATATAACAGCTTCACGATAGCTGAAGACTGAGTGAATTTTTGGTTTGCGCGGAGCGAATCGAAAAAAAGTTTTACTGCTAAAATTGAAATAATTCGCTACGAGAAAGTTGG